CCGACTCGACGGCACTTAACAACAACAACAGTTAATAAATTTATTCTAAAATATAACTAATTGCTTATTCTTTCAAACAAAATAAATACAATAGTCTTTAATGAGAGTTGCCACTTCAACGAACATTATTCTTTTTTTTTTAATATTTCTATACGCACAAAGATGCTTATCATTTTTAATTTGAAGTTAAATGCCCATCCTAAGTTCCTCTTGATAGTTCTCATATTAAGTTAGATGAAGATTTATGTACTTGTGCATTAAAACCTCCAAACAATTACATTTATCTGTACAAAAGAAATCATTTATTCTAAAAATGGTACAATATATCTTGGTGTGGTGCTGTGGGTTAATGAGCCAGACTGCAAAGCCGATTGAACTGCAAGGTCGGCAGTTCAAGCTCACTAGCTGCTCCTTGGAAACTCTATACAGGGTCTCTATGGGTCAGAACTGGCTCGATAACACTTCACAACACAACAACAACATTAGAAAACATGTAAATTATTCCTGAAGTTTATTTTATTTTATCAAGGAAAATTTGGCCTATATCCTGCAAAGGGAATTATAAACAAATTAACTAATTTTATCATACTTAATTTTATGTTAGTAAATCAGCATTTCTTTTGATTGTTTAAACATGTTGTTTTATTATTAAGTGCAATTGAGGCAATTCCGACTCATAGCAACCCTGTTGTATAGTCCTTCCAAGGAGCAGTTTGTGGGTTTGAATGTCTGTTGTTGAGGTTCGCTGCCCAGTGATTTTCCTACAGTGCCCAGTGCTTATCCTACAGCACCACACCAGGATTCCTGTTTGAACACAGCACTATTAAGAGTGCAATGTGTAAACTGACATTTTAAATAGACATTTATGTCTTCATATCCATAGACAGGTTCAGTAATACACAGAGCTCCGCACAATTTCCACCTTAACAAATTCTGCAGACATCTTCACAATGAACTTAGCCCCAAAATATATTCTTCCTATCTCTAATATTGAAAAAAAAAAAAAAAAAAGATCTCCAAAGACTGGGGAATGTCAGGTACTGTAGCCACTGGTGGAAAGGATGATATTCTAAATCATCAAAACAGAATCACAGATGAGTAGTCTTATAATATCAACTGTGAACATTTTTTCCTTTTTAAATTTGCTGAAAATACCATTAAATGAAAAACAAGGGGTCCTTGGTGACTTACATTCTAGACTCATTAATGAATTTTCTAATTATGAAATTTGGAAAAAAAAAATTAAGTGCTCAGTTTGCAAAGGGACTGTGTCCTTGGAGACAGGAGGATAATACAACAGTAGCAGACACCTGAAAGAAGGCCTACTGTATTGCTTACATTGCATAATTCACTTTTAAACACCTTTTACATCCACTAAGTCATTTGGAAGATTATAATGCTTTATTATAGGAATGTAATTTTTCATTGTATTACATAAAATCTTTATCATAATTGGATAAGTTTAATTAGATAAGCAACTAGACAGTTCATACAGTTACAGAGACTACTGTTTACATTATTTTATCCAAATTTTTCCTTCTGCAAATATACCTACTAGATTATAGATATGATTTATAAATTATAAATATGTGCAATCATTTCATTGAATACAAAATGTATTTTTATACATCTAAACACATAATGTTGTTTTCTTTGTGTGTGCCATGGAGTCGGTTCCGACTCATAGTGACCCTGTACAGGGTTTCCGAAGCTGTAAATCTTTACGTGAACAGAATGCCTCATCTTTCTCCCACGGAACAGCTGGTAGTTTCGAACTGCTGACCTTGCAGAGCTCTGGTAGTGTAGTGGTTACAAATCGGGCTGTGAACCACAAGGTTCACAGTGAACAACAAACACATAATAACTTACTATATAATATTGATTTATATTATTTCTACTTTTTAAATATTAATAAAATTCACTGCATAAGTATTCTGGCTTTCATTTAAATTATGCTTAAATTAAATTTATAGTGTTTTTCATTTTTCGTAGTTACCAAACATTCTATAAAATTATTCATCGATAGCATTCTATTGACAGCAAATAACATTAACAACAGTCTTGGTGTAGCGCTGTGGGTTAATGTGCCAAACTGCAAAGCCATTTGAACTGTAAGGTTGGCAGTTCAAGCTTACCAGCTGCTACTCAGAAACCCTATACAGGGTCATTATGGGTCGGAATCAACTTGACGGCACTTAACAACAACAACATCATATTGTATAAAACAATATAAATAAATGTAAGCTATTAACAAATAAAGAAAATGATAAGTTCCAATCAACAATTTTATCATCCATTCACTTTTTATTTTAATATTGTTTGTAGACTTCCATTTTAATTTTACTTCTTTAAGAATGATGCATTTCTTGTGACTGAGTCCTTGAATCTGTTATTCACTTGCTTGTTTGTCAGTCATTTATAAATAAGTGGATTTAACATAGGTGCAATAGAACAAATGAGCTGTAAAACCACTTTATTAATTGTCACTTCTTATTTTGCAGTAGGATTCATAGGTGCTGAACATACACATTCCACAGGTGATGG